CAGGAATCACAATAGCTGAGGGGCTGAAAATTTGCAGGGATATTCCCTGTGCATGTGTTAGCTAAACATTTCAAATTCAGTCCTCGGTATGCGTGGCATTAGCGGGAAAATTGCTAACTCGAGAACCAAAGAGGCTAGAACGCTGAAATTTTAGAGGAATGTCCCCTGTCCGAGTACAACCTAAATATTTTAAATCCAGCCCTCAGAAAAGCGTGGTTCTTACGTACGAGCATATGAAAGATTTGGAGAGAGGACTGTAAACTCAACAATCAGAAAAGCTGGAAAGCTGAAATTTTGGGGGAGTGTTTCCTGCCCAAGTACAACTGAAATATTTCAAACTCAGCCCTCCAGCTATGCGTGGTACTCACGTCAGAACGTATGAAAGTTTTTGCGGGGGAATTACTAACTTGGGAACCAAGAAAGCTAGAAAGCCGAAATTTTAGGAGAGTGTTCCCCACCCAAGTATAACTTAAATGTTTCAAATTCAGCCTTCAGGTGTGCGCAGTTCTCACGCACGAGCACGTTAGAGATTTGATGCTGAGGACATTCTTCTAAATTTTTATCCTACTAACCTCCTTAGTTACAGAGATAATTTCTCTAGCCAAGACTTCCACGGGGTCGTACGGATATCCATAAACCATGACATGTTACGGAAGAGTGGCTTCTGACGACAATCTTCGGAAATATTTGCTGCAACAACTGCTACGTAAAGATCCAGGATTTACGGACAAACATAGAACTGTGTATATAATATTTGGAGCGCCGACAATCGGCGTGGTTATTCAGTGTCACTGATGTTACTGGGATGCTACCATGCGTAATGTGCACCGCATTGTGTTCTTCGATACCTCCAACTCATAGACACTGGGAAAGGGGAGAGGGTATTACAAACATTACAGAGAGAAATCGGCAAGATTATTTAATAACTCTGTAATAAGGTTCCTCGAAAATTTCAAAATCTTTTTTTAATTTTCATAAAACTATAAAAAATATTCAAAATGCATGCAAAAGATGCGAGAAAATCATGGGTGTAAATTCATTTGTTCACGTTTTCAAGTGAACAAATGTGTATATTTCAACAAAACAAAAATATGCGAAGAAAATGAAAATAACAAAATAACAATGCGCGAAAAATTTGTCCGTACCCAGCGTACCCAAA